GGGGGGAGAGTATATTGTTTGGGCAGTCGTGAAGTAACAGACGACGCCATAGTTTGTTGAGGACAGTATGTAATTTCCTTTACTTTCACTACTTTCATTTTCCCTATATTAATCAATTATATAAATATCATGTTCACTGGCCTGAGTCATTCGGTAACCAAAAATACAATAACTGAAAGTCTAGGGCATGCCAAAGGCTAATTAAATTTAAAAAAATAAAAAAATAATTAAGCTATTAGGCCTTGATTTATAAGGAGGTTAAACTGTTATACAGTCACCGTCGTCCAGGTTTCAATGGGGAGATAATAATATGATTCCATAATATTATGTTATCAGATTTTTCCTTGTTAGTTTAAACCTAACAAACAAGTATTCAGTTAAGGCAATTAGTAGGCTAATACAAGAATGTCAAAGAAGGAAAGTTTTGTACTTTTACGTATTAGGCCTACAGGGTAGATCTAGGCTTCTTTGGCACTCCTTGCGGAACAAGCAGCTTACCAGGCATATCCGCCATTACGGCGTCATCGACCATCGCGACTTCTTCTTCATTCATCGCTTCACGCACGTCGTGCACACGTATTACCAACACTGACTCAACTGGCTGGTTGTACCGGATTGTCAACGTTTTACCGTGTTTCAAGTCTGAGGTATTAATGAATTTGTGACTGCCTTTATTGCTCATCCTATTTATGATTATGATTTTAGATTAGATCTCTGTCTTTCATGTCACGGGATTCCAGATCGAGGTCGAGAACTCAGTGCAGAATCATGAGTTAGATCTGAAACTGGTTTGGTTTAGGTACAGTACCGCAAAGGCAAAGGCCTCTTAATTAGTAATGATAGGCAGGTCTAGTCTAGATATATCTAGATTCTAGATCTAGATATATTATATCTAGATCTAGATCTAGATCTAGAAATCTAGATCTAGACATTAGGGCCTATATATAGGATCTAGATCTAGATCTAGATCTAGATCTAGATCTAGATCTATATCTAGATCTAGATCGGGAGGACTTGACAATAACAAGCGACCACTAGATCTACTATCTTAGATCTAGAATCTAGATTCTAGATCTAAATCTAATACTATGAGTATGAGTACGAAGTGTATACAGACCCGGTAACCGGGAACAAAGTCACGAAGTATACAGACCCGGTAGGAGAACTCTTTGTCTTTTGTGATTTCGGGAAGTTTCAGACCCAGTAGAATTCTTTTGTGTGTGTGTGTGTGTGTGAGAGAGAGAGAGT